GGCACGGCAGAAAAGGGCTTTCAGCAGGTACTTTTCATCGTCAGCAGGGCGCTAAAATCTTTGCACCCCCCCGCGACTGTGTGTGTGTGTGTGTGTGAGTGAGTGTGTTTGGCCAGCAGGTGTGAAAGATGCTTTTAAAGTTTGCCCATTGCCGTTGGCTGCCGCTGCGATTGTAAATAATATGCAAATTACGTTGAAACGACAAATATACGAGTATCCGTGCGGTAAATCAGGCAAAAACAAAGTTGCTGACAACAGAAGCGTAAATGCAGGGAGCAGGGGTTTTGTCTGCAGCGGGGGGCGTGCGGGGCTTGGGCATCTATAGCACTTGAGAAACGTGCGAAGCGTGTTCAAGACGCTTGCCCAGGATACAGACAACGCGTCCTGTCATATTCCTGTGGCAACTTCAACGTTGCTGCTGCTCCAACTGCTGCTGCTGCTGCTGCTGCTGCTGCCGTGTATATTGATATTTGTGGCACGTTGAAGTTGAACGTTGATGCTGTCGTTGCAGTCTTGCCAGTACAGCCAGTCTTCTGTATCGTGGCAACATCAGAGCCTAAAAGCATGCAACATCAAGCATTCTGACGCTGCACAAACACACACACAGACAAACCTAAATACATCACGTCAGCGAGCTGTCAATGAGCACAGCTCGCACATGGTGTCTGTGTCTGTGTGTGTGTGTGTGTGTGTGTGTGTGAGTGTGTGTGCTTGTGTGTGCACGAGGGCTGTCCCGCTGGGGTCTTGCGTGCTGTGTTACTCCAAATGTGTTTTATAAGTCATTTTTCCTGCATTTTTATGCACTGCAAGCTAAAAAAATGTGTTCAAAACCGGACATGCTCGACTTGTTGCCGCAAAATGTTGAAAGTAATTAAATATTAATAACAAGAGCAATTCTTTCTTCAATTTGAGTAAAATACGTATGCGGCTAGTGGAATATTTAATATGTCTCATTAACAATTTTCATAATATGAACATATCTCGTATCTCAGAAATACTTTCTCATTTATATATATGTATCTATATATACAAAAACAGGTATAATAAAGTTGTATGTAACCGACAGAAGACAGCATCCCCCATTTAAGATATATATTCTTGATCAAGTTCGAGTCGATCTAGCCAGGGTCCGTCTGTCTTTCTGGAAGTGCTCCTTTCACGATTCAGTTTAATTTATTTTATCGATAACACTCTCCTGTCTTGCGAATATCGATACACATATAGCCGATATATATTTAGACATATTATTAGACTACTGTAAAAATGACACACAAATCGTACAAGAAACACCCGAGTTTATTTGGCATGCCTGAGAAGAGAGGAGCACGATAATCGCAGAGTTCACAATATATACGCATCAATACATTCGAACGGGCTACAGGGTATATTTCAGTCGGAATGCCTGTGCTTATGGCACAATCTCTTTGCTCAAGTAAGTCTCAGCTCGAAGTGCAGTTGCATTGCAGCACAGCTCCCGCTGTTGCTTCTGCCACTCCCCGCCCAGCTGCTCATGCTGTGTGTTTGTGAGTGTGTTTTTTATCCAGTTTTGCTTGCCACGCGCATGACTTGATGCTAACAATAGCACTCCCGGATGCAGCAGCAGGAGCAGCAGCAGCAGAGGCAGCAGCAGGAGCAGCAACTCAGTCAGTGACAGGCTCGTTGCCTGCTGCCTGGTTGGCTCTATAGCTGTATGCCTGTCTATATCCTGGCTGTAATGGTTTTGCTTGTTATGCCCGGCTATTGCATATATATACACACACACACACACATACAGATTGACAGTCTTTTAATTAAGAAGCCGTCAAAGATGGCGTCGACATGCTTCACACGCCGGCGTTTGCGTCAAACCAAGTGCAAGTGCGGCCATGTCACTGGCAATTATGCACCACCGTCAAGAGTGGGCCGGCCGAGGGGAGTTGAGGCAAACAACATATAAAGCAAACGTCAACAGCAACACAACTCAATTTGCGCTTATTCACAAATTAATTGAATTTTTGGTTTACAATGCAAATGCTGCCAGCTGCAACATGAAATCACACTTGCTCCGTTTTTATTCCACTTTGCAATGTTGCACCTGCAATCGGTGGCCAGCAGTGTTGCAATTAATTAACCGCAAGCTGTGACAGTTTGCCGTCCATTACGCTGACACCGGCAGCTCGTCAGCAGACTTCAGGTTGCAATCGAATGCGAGTGGGATACATCAGCAAATATCCAATTGGCTCACTTTGTTTTCGGCCAGGTTTTCAGCTTTTCTGTCCTTGCATCGAAGTTTCCAATGTGCATTTCGGCATGTTGCCTTGCCAAATATACATTTACCTGCGTATTTTGTCTTTTTTTCTGTTATCGTCAACTGAGCTGCCAATTTCGGCACTTGAATTGATGTTAAAATGACAAATGGAAGTTGAGCAGCCACAAGTAAGCCTGTATACCCATTTAAATGGCCAATTGCAGCATGCAACAGACACAGATTATCGTTGCGGGGCTTCATGCAACAGACACAGATAGTGGACAAACTAAATTTGTTAGTTTCTTGATGACTTTGAATTGTGGTCAATGCTTGTCGAACATTGGCTTCTTGTATAAATCGCTTTAGAGTTTAATTCTGAAAGAATTTTATGTTAATTTATTTTAGATTAAATGGATTAAGCCAAAGACTATAGAAATATATGAATTAAATATAATCTTTCAGTTCCTGCAAGAAAATATAATAAAACAATTAAAATTCTTTGTGAACCCGATAGTATATATTCTGTTGAAATATTACGATATGCGATTGAATTGAATATTATCTTTGAGTCTAGAATACGAGTAGCATTTTCGAGCAGTGTAACTGCTGGAATTTTGCTTAAGGAACCACCTTGACAATTTGTGTCCGCATCGTGTTTAACTTTCGTGAAAGTTAACTGGGTCCGCAAAAGCAAAACAAACAACAAAAAAAAGCATTGATAAAGGCAAAGCAAAGTTTGCTCTTGAGCGGGGGAGTATTGGGGAGTCACCAATACTCAAAGCGTGTGAATTAAAGCAACAAGCAATCTAAACACTTGAGCATTCACTTGAACATAGTACGAGAATATCTATTAGATACTTGTGCTATATTACTTGAGAGACCTCAAGGTGTGACTTATGTAAAATGTAAAATTCACACACACAAAGCAGAGTGGGAAAAATACGCAATTTGTGTGGAATTAAATCATTTATAAGCGAGTAAAAATGACCTGGTCGGAAAATGTCCTGCATCCTAAATAAACAGTTCTGCACTAGTATTTAATCAAGCACAACATCAAGTTTTTTCTTTCAATAGATAAATCATCCGATTTAGTAGAGACAATTATAAGCATATATGTTAGCTCTATGCTACTGTATATTATATATACAAATTTATTATGAGAGAAGTAAGAATGCTCTTGTGCAGAGAGCTTGACACCCAGAATACAAATTCTAATACTAAACTCATTTCACAAATGTTTGTTTTTTGTAAAGATTATATACGATTTCCGACCGTATTGCCTAACAAATTCTGATGAAATTTATAAAAAAAAGTTATGATATAATAAATAAGACAATTACATGTTGAAATAGTCATTGAGGCAGACAAACTAGACTGTTAACTATGAATAAGAATGTATATAGTTTATAGTTTATGTGTCGGATATGCTTCCTTCTGCCTGTGACAGACTTCAGCACAACAATGGACATTTGTCCCACAGTGCTATGGACAGCTGAAGTGTATTTACTCCACATAGCCTACGTCCAGGGGCTATCCTCTTTATCCGTGCAACTTAAGACGCAAACACACACACACACACATATTCACACATTGGAGCTGTTGTAAAATATTTTGCATGCATTTACTTGGTAGTTGCACTTTGAAATTTAGTCGAGTAAATGGAAAATAGTCGTTGTTAGTTTTTCGTTTTTTTGGTTGCTACTTGATTATTTATGCGACATTCAATGCTGCCATTTGTTGTGCAACAAAGTGCATAAATTTCATGTGTGGCATACGAGTGCTGCACATTACTTATACGGCTGTTAGTACTGCTAGACATATGTGTGTGTGTGTGTGTGTGTAGAAATGTGTAAAGAACGCGCCACACATTGTGGCTGCCACAGAGAAAGTTGCGCAAGCTGAATGAAAGTTCACCTCTTACACTTATTTTGCTCTACGCTTGCCGATAATTGATGTTTATTTTTGCACTCTAATTGGTTATTACGGGCAATAACTTTTAATGACTTCGGCAGCGACTACAAAGACCGTTTTTTCGGTTTATGTTCCATTAAATGTTATACATTCGTTAAGAAACTTGTAAAACTATAATAATAAAGCTGCTTTTCGAATTAAAATTAATGTACACATGTGAAATGATGTTCATTACTATGGTTACAGCAACCGTCCCACCAGCAGTTCTAATTGAATAATTGATATTGTGGAGTGCCACATGAGGCAAGTTGTTCGTTTGATTTGGACAAACGGAAGGCAAAGTGGCAGCTAATTAAGTCGATTAAATAATGCCGAAATTTGACAAGCGACAAGAAATGAGCATTCATTATGCAACTCAACTGTTTGTACTCAAACAGCTCTGACAAATATATGTCAAATGACTGAACCCACATTTGATTGAAGCACTCAGCGAGAGCTATTTGAATTACCAATTAGTGCAAATTTACAAAAAATCAAGTTACAGCTCATAGAATAATAAATAATGCGAGAAGATTTCATAAATATCATTTAAATTGCGGTCGAATTACGACACAGATTCCATCACATCACCAATCAGCAAAGAAGTAAGAATGCCCCAATCGAGGGAACTCGACTACGAGACCCAATTAGTGCTTTTATTTCCGACAATATGTTGTTTCTCATACACTTAAGATCAATTATTTACTTATTGACTCAATACACACTGAAATTTTAAAAATATTTAAAAATTTATTTGAAATGATTTGAGTTTAAAATAAAATATTATACAAAAAAGATATTTAATTAAAATATCAGGTTTATTCAAATAAAAGTGAAATGTTGGTAATTTATAGAGGTAAAAACATGAAGCACACCGATTATTTTAGATAAGGAAAGTTAAACAAGAGACTTAATGATTTATCAGTTTAGGCTGTATAGAAATTTCTATCGATTCTCAACTGGTCTAATTCGCCTATAATCCATGGCAGTAAATACGCCACATTGGTATACGCGGCAGGTATATCCTCCAATCCACACTTAATGCCCCAGCTGACAATGCCTGCCTGGTAGTACCGATTGGGTTTGCCTTGAATGGGACAGACGAGAGGAGCTCCCCCGTCGCCGGCACAGCTATCGACGCCCTTCTCTCCGCCAGCGCACATGTTGCTCCTGTCAAGATTAAAGTTCGCTCCCAAGGCGTTTCGCAGCTTGACAATGCACCTGTTATGAGGCAGCACGGGCACAGTGACCTTCTTGAGAATGCGGGCATATTCGTTGCTGTTCAGTGGTATCTTGCCCCAGCCGGTGACGAAGCAACGCGCGTTGTCGGAAACTGTGTTCGCATCGGGCAGACAGATGGGAGCGATGTGGGGGCTCGGCATGAAGGACTCCTTCAGTAAGAGCAATGCAATGTTATTTATATAGCCATTAAAGTCATTGTGCAAGATCTTTCGCTTCACAGCGATATCCTGATGATCGTATATCTCCTGCATTGTTTGTTGATCCCATTCACCAGCTCTAACAATTAGGGTGGGAGCCTCTCGATTCGACACCTTATGGGCAGCCGTTAGCACCACATTGGGTGCTATCAGGGAGCCGCCACCAATGGACAATAACAGTGGATCATCCCTTACCAGTATGGCCGTCATCCAGGGAAATTCACCAAATTGCGCTTCATTATGTTGAATTCCATCAATGCTCAGCTGCACTCCTTTCTCATTGCGGTAGCCGCAATCCCTCATATTGAGCATCGGCTCGAATGACGGTTTTGTCAGAAGCTGTAATACATTATTTGTATAATAATTAATAATTGTTTACAAAAATGAAGTAATTCGAGAAAAGTTGATTTTCCTGGACAAAGTTGTTCTTGGTAAATTTGTGTACAATTTATTACTAAATTTCTTATCTATAACATTTCTCAAAAGCCTTATGACCCATAAATTGCTGCGACAAAGCCAACATTATGTCAAACTAATTTTTATAATTTTTAAAAGTTGACGTTTGAATTTGTTTTAAATACTTTGAAAACAGATCTACGATCAACACCCCAGATAATATCCAATAATCCTTTTATGTCGAGATACATTCCTATGTTTTGATTGAGTTTGAGTTTATACTCACCTTATCGTCAATATTACAACAGATTTGATTGTAATTACATGCATCGGGATGGTAGTTAGAAGGCAAATTAATGGTGTAGGCTTCATTGCCATCAGTCGTTTTGTTTCTGCACATCCAGATCTCAACGCATTCCATGTGACTGTCACACGGCTTGGCACCGGGATCGGACTCCACGAATGGTTGAACTATAACATTTTTAGGTTCTCTCCTTGGATCCCAATTGTCCAAGTGTAGTTCCATTTCGTCAAACGAAATATTAATTTCTGTATGCAGCTCGTTAATCACTTTCTCGATCTCATCGAGTATTTTTTTTCTATGAAACATCAGTTTCTCACGTACTGATTGTACAATCGTGTTATGACCTATACATCGGTCATCAGTCTCGGTCTCTTTCTGGTCATCGGTCTCTTTCTGGTCATCTTTGATGTCAAGCATAGCATCTAAGCCAGGCAAACTTAAACGTCCTTGCACTTCCAGCAGACAGATAAAAGGCAGCACAAGACACAATAAACATTTTGAAAGCAGCATTTTAAAAATCTCTAACGCGATAAACACAATAATGCGAAAATAATATGAACTGATTCTGAAACGATTCACGACCGATGAGTTAATGCAAGCTTATTCAGAATAAAGCTGATTTTTTGTTTTAATTTTCAGAATCTGAATTCGGTTCCTTATCAACAATGCATGTCAGCATTTCGCAGTAAAATAAAATATGTATTTATTTATAAGTACTCGCATGTTATCTTTACGAAACAAATTTTTGCGAAAAAAATTCTGTAGTGTTCCCGACACTCACATTTGACGTACTGAACTGATTTGAATGAAGAATGAAGTATAAATTATAAACTGAACAAAGTGGAATATAACAGAACAACACAAGATGAGTCAACATATTTCTTTAAATTCTGAATTCAAATATTTAAATGAAGCGACATCTAGTGAATAATAATAATAAGTAAGGAAGCACCATTCATATTCTAAATACTATTCGATTCAGATATAGCTATATATATATTATCTGAAAGGAAGGATATAGTCTCAGTCAACTGCGTACCTATGTGGCAAACCAACATTTTAAATATTACATTCATTATTTTTAATGGATATTTTTATTTGCACAACGATCAGCTATCCCAACAAAGGGCGCTGTAACTCAAGTGATATGAATACGAATTGCGTTAATAAATTGCACATTGCAATTATAAACATATTAATTAAATTAAGTGCACTTCCGCTATCATAAACGCACACAGACTGAGCAAGGGACAAAGCAGGTGCAGTGACAAAAGTAACGCGTCAACTAAAGAGCTTCCTGGCAACATTTGACAGTTGGCTCAAACGGCAGGCAACAATCAACAATCCACAGTCAACAGTCAACAATTCCAGCTTTACACTCACCCTGAACAGTTGTTGTACAAACCGTTTGCTATTTGTGGCGCTACAAGCTAGTTTATGGTCAAATGAGTTGACGGTCAGAGATAGCCTGGCTCGAACCCAAGCCCTGACATAGGCATATCATCAAGTGCAAACCCCCACTACGTCCTCACCCAACCAACCAAAGGCATTTGTCTGCTGCACAAAGCAACTCACTGAAAAATGGTTGCGCAACCCAGCAGCAAAGAATACAGTGAAATTCACATTACTTTTTTCACTTGCGTTTTAGAGCAAGACATGAAACATTTCAGGGCATTTGCAATTCCATTTCACAGAATTAAACAAAATAAGCCTGAAATAAGCGGAAATGAATTATTTAATAATGCAGCAATAACAACTGTTGCCTTACATCTACATGAAAATTGCAGCAATTATAACAAAAGTCGCTGATTTGAAGTCTTACTACACACTTCCAAGCCACATTCTTCTGTGATGTTTCTCGTTCGTTCTGCATCGCCTTTATTAATATGATGTTGCAGCCATGCTTGCAGCAGGGAACCCATGCGGCGTATGTGTGTTTTTTGACACACACTGTTGCAGACAATGCACTTGAGTTGTCTGTCGTTGAGTATATTTGCGCTTTGTTTCTAGTGTCGCTTTGTGTGCGTCACGACATTTGATGAACTCATCATTTGAACTTTGACATCGCTGCTGTTGCAGCGTTGCAATCTTGCAACATTGGTCAGAATACGGGCAGGAAGCATGCATGCATATTGCATTTGCTGTTTTCCGAATTGGAAATGCACCTTTGCATCTTAGCTTCATAAATCAATTAATCTAGTAAGGAAAGAGCCAACTGTGGGTTTCAACTCACAGCGAGTTTAACTCATTTTTAATCTAAATAGACGCTGGCCTCAAGATTGAGATGTAACCAGAAACTAGCCTCGTTTAACTACTCAACTCAAAGCGTATGCAAATAGGGAAAGCCGTAAACATATTACATTTAGACAAATGGAATTTGTTGAGCCGTTGCCAATGCTGGTTAACTGTGTTTATAATAGGCACACACATGCACGAAAGCAATTTACAGGAGTCGCGCAATTGATGGATATGTTTTAGCAATGCATAAATTACGACGTCTGCTGTTTTACAAATTACTTGGGACATATAATATGACAGCACAGACGACGACTACAACAGTCATCGCTCACTCGCAGCTCACAGACGTGGATGTTGCAGGTGGCGTGTTGCAAGAACGGCTGGAGGATCCCAGCTGCCGCTTGCCACTTACCGCTTACCGCGTGCTGCCTGCTAGCTGCTCTGTCAGCCGCATAATTTGCGTCAAGGCCCAGAGGAAATGTCGCCGCGTAAAGTTGCGGCTCTGTGTTGCTTCAAAGTTTTTCTAGCCCTAGAGCATACTACACATACAATCACACACTTAGCCACAACAAACACACACACACACACAGCAACTTATTCAACTTACTTGAGCAGTTGTTGAGCAGAAGAATTTATATTGCGTCCCGTTGCCTTGGCGTGCGAATCGAAAATGCACCTATTTAACTTAAAGTCATTTTAAGAGGGGGGCATAAACTATAGCACCAACTTTCACATCCACATCCACATCCACTCACACTTCACTCCTGAACACTATTTCATTTGAAGACAGACTTTGCAGGCCGCGCTTCTAATTCCATCACGGACAAAGTTGATTTAATGCCGGCTGATAAAATTACGCATACGCCGCCTGCGCAGGCACTGTACCTGACAGCTTATCTCAGCTCCTTTGTAGTTGGACAACTGACAAACAACTACAGCAATAACAACAATAATCACAACAATGAGCAACAGGCTAACCACATCAATATCGAACGCAACTCAGCAGCACAATTGAAGTAAACTTTATGTGCGAGTTTGTCATCAAATAAACTTGCATTTACTTAATTCATCTATAGCCTTTATTTGAGCAATTTATAATTTGCTTTGTTTGCTTTCAATCAGTGTGCAAAATAACGAATACATATTTAAATATTAACGTGCATTTTCTGACTGCATATTTGTTTTAGTTTGTTAGAGCAATTAAACTTAATATATATCCATTTGTCATGTGTATAATACAAGCAATTTGTTTCTGAAAATCATAACATCAATAATAATAGCAATAACAATAACTACAAAAATACATATAAATATCAATAATATTGATAATAATAGCACTAACCAAGTCGGGCAAATGATGATTGCTAGTAATAACTAAAGAAATAAAATACGAATTTACATTTAAGCCATTTTAAAAATAATTGTATCAACAATGTGGGTCAACTGAAAAGAAAACATATCGACAACCTCAATCTGCCAACGCATATTCATATTGTGAAAGGCTAGCTGAAAAGTAACAAGAGGAGTTCTCTGCCACCTGCTGCCTGTCATTGGATGGATATCAAGAAACTTTCTCAGTATTTCCATCCCAGCTCAGTTTTAGCTGCTGTGTTCGCAAAGTGCATGGAATGCTGATGGCAAGTGCTCCAACTATAACAAATTCACTTTGGAATTTCAACAGAAAGCAAAGCAGAATATATACACAAATATACACACTTTTAAAAATATATATATATATATATATATATATTTATTAACGCGCAGCAGAAGTTAACATGCTATATGTCGAATTGATGTGAAAATGCAATATATAAAATGAAACATAATAAAAAAAATATAAAAAAAATTGTCAACAATGAAAAAAGAAAATCAAGCAACGAATGTGCAACCAATAAGGGAAATTGTAAATGTTGAAAATGGTTTGTGGTTAGGGGAGGGCGGAGTGCGGAGTGCGGGCCACGTTTAAATTCAACAGCAGCAGCAGCAACGGGTTATCATTGTGGTTGATACTGTCATCCATACCCATACCCAAGCCCATACCCACCCACAACCCTACGCCTACAGCTTTTGCATTTCTTTCGCTTTTATTGATGATGATGTTGCTGATGGAGATGTTAATAATGATGTTGATGTTGATGTTGATGTTGACAATACGCGATTTACGCCATTCGCATTTGCATTCCTTTTTTTCATACTCTGATACCAAAGAAGAAGAGTATATTGGCTTATTGCCTTTCGTCGGGAAAATTGGTAAATCGATAACATCGGTAAAAGCCAATAGATTAAGCCACATATCTCTCACAATTTTAGGATTAGTAGCGTCAATTAACTTGAATGATAGATTTCAAAAAACCTCCTCCTAAACGTTGTTAGAAAATTTCTTGGCCACGCCCATGCTGGCCCAAAAATTTGATCAAACCTTTAACTCACACATTTTTGATGTCCAAATTTGAAAGACAGATTCTAACAGTAGATTTCGATGGTTAATAAAAAAATGTTGGAACTAGAATAAGTCTACTTAAAGAGTCTACTAATGGTTATTCAATGGTCGAAGTATCATCTTACCCGGAAATAGAAACAGAGTATCCCTCAGTCGAACTCACTTAAAGTGGCAGTCAGGTATATATATATATATATATATATATATATATATATATATATATAGGTTTACCGAAAAACGTTCACACTTTAAACAATCAAATCGCATACATACAATCAAAAACTGTATTTAATGTCGATATATAAAGTACAATTGGGAAAGCTCAACTAATACACTTCAAAGTATACTTTTTCAGCGAGCAGTCAATTTAAATACGCTCTTATCAAATATTTGAGATGATTTACACATAATTCACTTTAAATGTAGTCACATTGATGATTTACATATTTACAAGAAAGATATCTTCAACTGAAAGCAGCTGACAGCTTCAATTTACCCAGAATTACCCAAAAGATACGTACTTAAAGAGCACATAAGACTTTAACAACAGTCATTTCCGTATTTTTGAGAATTTAAGCTTAGTTTTGTATTGCTTGATTACAAAAATTAGGTAAAATATATGTCAATAATTTTAATGGTGAAGCTCTTCACAGTTGTTCACAAATGGTTTAAGAACTTCTAGTGTCATTGAGACTTAAACATTCAAAATTCATTGTCAAGTGCAATGTTTATGGCGGCACCATTATGCAACAGCCGCCGCAAAGCGCGCCTCGGCCTGTTTGTGTAATTAACGTGGGTCGGTTGGTGGTCGCTGGCATTTGGCCAACAATTGCAGTCGCTGTTGCAGTTATGGCAGCAATTTAGTTTTTATCAATCTTTTTTTTTGCAAGCCGCTTGTTGACTTCGCCCACAGACAGATAAAGCATTTGAAACACTCAAAAAAAATACATTTGTTCTGTGAGTTGAATTTTTTTGCCCAGTTACAATTTACCAACAGTCTTTTGGTCGTTTTTTGTTGTGCAAGTGTAATTAAAAATTCATCATACGCCATGTCGGTGCCTGCATTGGAGCCGGCGTTAACGTTTGCGTTGGCGTTGGCTTTGGTGCAACAAAAAAAGCGTGCAACTTAATGAACTTTAAAGTTTTTGCAGCACGCTAATTGGAAAACAATTAAGGCACACCAACTAGCCACGTGGCTTAAGCCATAAAGTCGATGGATTTTAACGATATACAACTTTTTTATCCTGGCCTTTAGTCAGCGATAGCAGCGATCCGAAAACTTTGCACGAGCATAGCGGAAAAAAAATCGGGCAGGGTTCAATTAAATTGGTCTGAATAGAATCTGTATTTCAGACATGGACAAAACAATTAAGAGATTGTACATGTTGATATTGCCTTTATATACTTAAACTTAAACTTAAAAAACTATAAATTAATTTCGAAATTGATTCATAGTAAAGAAAGAATGGGGATTTATAAAGTCAAACTAATAATCAAGCTGTTAAAGTTGGAAGACTATGTCGATTCAAGACTTTCAATCCAACATAACTGATACCGACTCGGCCGTCTCCCCGAATATTTTATGATATTGTTCTCTGCTTTCTTTCTATTTTTCCCTTAATTATAATATACATTTTGTACTGACACAAATATTAATTTGCTGACAAGAACAACGAAAACCTATAGGAGAAAGTGTTTAATAAACTCATCTTCCAAGTAAGTTAGTGCCACAATATTCATCATCATCAAAATCCACAACATTTTCCTGAGTATGCAAAAGACTGAAGGCCGCAGGAAACTTTCGCTTGCCAATTCACCCTTGCCACTTGCCACTCATCGTTTGCCACTTTCTAGTTTCGCTGTCTTGTTAAATTTGCTGCCGTGGCTGCTCAGCCGCGCATAAAGCGGTTGTTTGAATTTGTGGTCGCTACAGAAGCTGCAGTTGTTACTTGTTAGCTTAGATATGCAGCAAAAATTTGATATTTGCTTGGCTGAGCGAGTTGGCCAGAGAAGACAATCGGATGCTACCATAGAGGTCAGGTAATTGAAAAACTTTGAACGATTTGCTGTGCACACAGCAGCAGAACACAACTTTTGATTACAACTCTTTTTGAGCACACGAAAAAAATGCAAAATATGAACTCAATCAATTGCCGCTTCAGGATCTAGGCTCGATGCCCCAGTGGGTCACAGAGCCACCAACCAATTCCTCTTCCTACCACTCACGCACGTTCGCACTTTCCGCTATGCCAAAAGCGGAAATGCACAAATCACGAACGAGCAACGCGTTCTTTGTTGCACGCATCCAAACGAAACGGAACGGAAATATGCGTGCAACATATGCGAACGAGCTGACGGCTGACAGCAAACAACAAAAAAAAAAACCCCACCCAGAGAGGCAATAAGCGTATTGTCAATTTACAATCGTCGACTAATGGATACCCCGATAAAACTTTTATTTTTTCATCAAATATTTGCAAAATAATTGTTAAAATTATTGTTTACAAATCGTGCATTGTAACTTTCGCAATAATTGTATGCATTTCGAATTTTTTCATAAATTATTTATTGCCTTGGAATTTTCTTTATAATTAAAATATTTTTTTCCATAAATTTTAAATACAAATTGTAATTAAAATACTTTGAAGTCATGACACTAGCTGGGTATTTTCATGTTTTTTATAAATATTATTTTTTTCTAAAGGAAATACATACTTAATAGTATGTTAAGGTGGTAAGAACCGTGGCTGTAATTATTTGCTTAACATATAATTTTAATCATAAAATGAGGGTATCAAAAGGTCACCGAAAGGCGAACAGAAAGTATGCAAAAGCGCAAGCGATGCAAACTCGACTACTGACACACATATAAATGCTGCCGGATGCCACTGAATACATCATGGACACATCGGATTGCAGAGAGAGAGGAAAAATGCTCTTCTTTTTTTTTGTATTTTATTTAGCCTGTTTACACATGTTATGGGATCGGCAAGAGTTCCTTGCGGCTGCTGCCAGTGCTGCTGTCAGCAACTTGTGCGCAATTGAAACTTATGAAATGCAAAAATTTGCACCAAAAAAAAAAAAAAAAACTTACAAGGATAAAGAAAAAACAGTGAAAACAGGGAAAACAACACGACAGGCAGCAATAATAAATGTGGAATCAAGAAAAATACAAAATCCAATACAACAAAAAAGCCAAAAGCACAATGCAAGTTAAACAAAAGTTGTGTGCAACTTTCAACGGAAGCGGAAACGCATGTTGCGCCATCGCAATGGCCGCCCAGAGCTTTTGTTTGGCAGCAGCTAAAAAAGATTGCAGGGCAAAACAATAAGAATAAAGAAGAAAAAAATGAACAAAAAATTGAATACAAATGTTGTATTGTAGTTGCACAGACAAGTGGCCTAAATGCAATTCAATAGGTTAACTTTCAGAAAGAGGCCAGCAACGATGCGAGCGCTTATCCCAAAAGGCCTGGCCTGCTGGCAGTTCAACGACTTGGCAGTTCCAGCTGCCTGCAAGTGCAACGAAATATAATTAAAATGCCAAAGAAAAATGCAAGAGGCAATTGCCGTTAGCCAAAGCCAATTAACCGCGTCGCGTTGCCTTCAGCTTTGAACAATGGCAGCGGCAATGACAACAAAGAGCACAAAGACAACAACAATTGGGGGCAATCATAAAGTCACTTGCTGCACGGAAATTGCAAGTTGCGGTCAGCCATGCCACATAGCCCATGCCGGCTTGCAACTAACTATGCAACAGAGTTTTCGATTTTCCTAAAGTCACTACAGTTTTCACAGCGAACGGAAATTGCAAACTGCGGCGGACACGCCAAAAGGTGCACCGATTTCTATTTATATTAAATATACTTGAGACAATTTTTCGCTCTTCTAATAAGATATATTAAGTTGCGGACATTTTTCCAACCTATATATATATATATAGATACTGAATTTACTGAATTAATCAGCAGACTTAAAGTGACACGAACTGCGAGACGCTGTGGTCCTTTGAAGCATGCTCCTGCTTGATCTCAAACTCAACATGATGTGGCTTGTGCTCCTGCTTGATCTCAAACTCAACATGATGTGGCTTCTGCTCCTGCTTGATCTCAAACTCAACATGATGTGGCTTCTGCTCCTGCTTGATCTCAAACTCTACATGATGTGGCTTGTGATCCTGCTTGATCTCAAACTCAACATGATGTGGCTTCTGCTCCTGCTTGATCTCAAACTCTACATGATGTGGCTTGTGATCCTGCTTGATCTCAAACTCAACATGATGTGGCTTCTGCTCCTGCTTGATCTCAAACTCAACATGATGTGGCTTTTGCTCCTGCTTGATCTCAACCTCAACATGATGTGGCTTCTGCTCCTGCTTGATCTCGAGTTCAACCAGTTGGTGTACTGGCTTCTTGTCGGATTCAACAATCACTTCCAGTTCAATATGTTGAGGTTTCTGTTGCTGGTGCTCATGCACAACTTCAACCTCAATATGCTCTGGCTTTTGATGATTGGGCTGCTCGTATTTGATCTCAAACTCCATGTGCTTCTCCTCCTCAGGATGATAAGGGACAATTTCCACGACATTCTGAGTCTTCTTCACTGGGCGCTCCTCAGCTACAATGTGATCGTATTGAGAGGCGTCGAATTTAGGTGCTGGTGGCTTACTATTCTTTTTGGGTGGTGGACCAGCCCGCTCCAGCGTCAGAGCAACGCTGCTGCCCACCAAAACTGCCAGTGTAATAAAAATTGCGACTTTCATCTTGAGCTTGGAAAAGACTATGATACGACTATGGTGACAGTGCCATTTAAATAGTCGCAAAATATGACCAAGTTAATTAGAAGTCAATAGACTGTGTTATCAACGCGAAAAAGCAACAAACAGAAGCTGACAGTGTGGAGCATAACGAGTGCGACATGGCCAATTACAAGTGATTAGATAAGATACAGACAGACAAAGAGAGGAAGACGCAAATACATATTCTAATTAAACGCAAAAGCAATTATATTATGACAGTAGGTATTTATTATGTCTGCTTAATGTCATAGATGCGAACCAAATGATCCTCGCCGCAGCTGGCCAACTGCAGCTGCAGCTGACCGGGTCGAAACTGCAAGCGCTTCACAGTCAAATGATGTGCAGAACTGCAAGATATAACGAATAAGTATGCATATATAAATAATATAATTTGCTTGCACTCACTCCTTGTTTAAATCACATCTTAGCTGCCATTTGCCATGGGTGAACTGATAAATCTTGATGATGCCACTCTCGGTGCCCAGGGCCAGCAGATAGATTTGCGCCTGCTCATCCAAGCAGCGCTGCGCAAAGCTTATAGCCGTAATCGATTCATTTTTCAGCTCAAGCGTGCCAGCAGCTTGCCAGCCATTCAGTGAGCTAGTGGCAGCTGACTGCTCCGTCGCCTGCTCCGACTTTGTCCAGGCAACCACTTTGCCGTCGCGTGAGCTCGTCGCAAAATATTTGCCATCGTGTGACCAATCGCAGGACCAAATAATGCGCGTATGTACTCCGTTACTCTTATCCGAATTGGCCACCAGTGCATAGTTGCTGAGCGGCTCCTCAATCTGCTGTCGCTCGTACAGTGACCAGCGGCGATCGCGGGAAACGGACAGCAAATAACGCGCATCCGGCGAGAAGCGTAGCTGTGTAACAGTCAACTGATGACCGCTTAGCTTCTGCAGCTGCTTCCAGTTGGCTGTGTTCCTGAGAAGCGCTCAACGTCAATAACCATATGCAGTGAGCAGTTGCTTCAGCACTTACCAGATTATTATCTGTGCATGCTCCGCATTGCTGGCCCGGCAAGTGGAAGCCAGCAGCTGTCCGTCGGGTGTGGCTGCAAGCGCATACAGCTCATAGCCATGTCCGTACAGCTTTTGCAACTCTGGCCAGAGTGTGTTCTGCATCAGTGTCTCCTCCTGCGGCGGCGTTTGCAGCGTGATGGGCACAAAGTAGTTGTCGGGATACTCATTTTTGGCCGTCGAGTTCTTCTCGGACTCTGTTTCGACTTTGTAGACGGCCTTGTTGGAAAGTCCCAGCGATGGCACCGACGCTCCTTTGGGCAGAGCTGATAAATAGAGTTAAGCTAAATTAAATGTGCCCACATTATATACTGTGAATTATATGTATTTATGATTCCAGCATTTGTTATTCCTTGTTGGTCACATAAGTTATCGTATTGAGATGGAAAAAGTTTCCCTTGGTTTATCGTGGCTACAGGATCTCTCTCTATTCATCTCTCTCTAGGTATTACTTGCTAATGAAATGGGGATAAGGATTCCACCCTGAGACATTCTCCAGCACCATTCCTTGTCTGCTTTTGACTACGAAATTTCAACCAAGGAACATTTTCCCTCAAAATCAGATTAGTTTTTTCTTAATCTTCCATGAAGTTGAAAATGATTCTGTCTACTCACAGTCCAGCAGAGCATCGCCTGCGGCATCTTGTTGCAGTCCGCTGATGTGTCGAAAGTTCTCAATGAAATTCGCAGGTGCTTGGAATGTGCGTACGATTTTCTCCTCGGCGCCGCTGGCAAACTTATAGCGCGAGAGCAGCGCCAGTGTCTGCATATCGTACCCATGAACCTGGGGACGTGCCAATTCATGCCAAGTGGTCGACTTATTCGCTTGCAGCCAAGGCGCATGCAGACGTGTCGTTTGATCAGCGGATACAGTCATCAGATATGCACCCTCATGCTCCCAGGCGAGGTCGCGCACTTGACCATAATGACCGCCCACAATGACATTTGGTGTCCAGAGCTGTTGTTGCTGCGGCTCCTCGCTCTGATTCCATATGTGAAAGCCGCCCTGGTAGCTGTGCGCCATTATGGAGCGGCCATCATGTGCGAACTTGCCACCAAAGAAACCCATCGAATTGCCGCCAACTTCGCCAACGCGCACCTGTTCTAACCACACGCCCTCCTCTGTGGGCGCCCACACAATGACCGTTTTGTCAATGGACGCAGACAGCAGACGCAGTTCTGCAAATGGAAAATGTGGTTAAGTTAAAAAAAAATTCAAGTTTTTATATTTACAACATTTTACCCTCATCGGCGTTCTTGTGCCAGTGCACGCCGTAGATCCAGCCCTCGTGGCCATAGAGAACTGATTCGAGACTGACGGCATACCAGGACTGTTTGCCCACTTGAACAATCTTCTCCTCGACGCGAATCTCGCCGCTATCCGCTGCGCTAAAGTCCAGGATGTCCATGCGATTCTCGCACACTTGCTGCTCGCTGCGCGGAGCAATGCGCCACAGACGTATGAAATTATCCTGTGAACCACTGGCCAGCAGCATGTCATCGCCATCGTAGACAAAGTCCAGGGCACGCACCCAATCCTCGTGGCCGCTTAGCTTGTGAACCAGCTCAAACCTGCTGGCGCTCGTTTCACTGTTGGCAACTTCCAACTGCTCCGCATATAGGGAGACTGTCTCGTCGTCCGAGCTAAAGGCCAGGAACACTTGTTCGCTTTTGGGCAGAAGCTTGAGGCGCAATGAAAAGCAGAATCCGCCAGCCAGCTGTATAGTTTGAAGACAACTGATGTCATTATTTGGCTGCATTTGCCACACTTTGATGCTGTTATCGGCGGCAGCTGTAGCCAACAGCCAAACTCCTGTTGGACGACGTACACCATCCACAGCATTAACGCCGCTTTCGTGTCCTTTGAGCAAAAGGCGCTTTTCGGCGCCTAAATCGTCCAGTTGCCATAAAACTGCGTTGCCATCATCCGCACCGGAAATCAATTGATACTCATCCAGCCATTTGACTGTATTAACGCGTTTTGTGTGCTCCACCAGCGTGAACAATATTTTCGCTGAATTTCCATTGTACTACAACAAATACTCGTTTATAAGAGAACCATAGACAATTGTTTTGATTTCATACTCTTGGATCCAGCACAGCAACAGCATTGCAGGCGCCATAAGCAATCAAGCCACCGGGACCCCAATCGGCGCACTCCGTGGTACGATTACAGGCCACCGACGTGTATAAATTCGTGACTTGCATGCCAATTTTACACGTAAAACTTAATATTTATTATTTTAGAATATTTACACACGTGCGGTGATTGAGGGCTCAATTCAATTCAAACTGTAGCCATGAACAGCTGTTGCTACGACAGAAGCAAGACAACAGTATGGTAACTCCACAGTGCTGCCAGACTGTGGAAGACTTTAAATATATGCCTAATGTAAGCGGAACATATTTAATAAATAACTATCTACAATGAAAATTCAATATAAAAAATGCATTTAATCATTTGCAATTATAATTTTTGTCTGCAATGGATTGCTCTGCTAAATATGCGCAACATAAACAGACTCGTACAACGCGGCAACCCTGCGCTGTTTATAAATAAACATTGTTTGTATGTACACTTGTGCTGTTTTGTGCTGTGTCTGGCTTTGAATTGGAATTGGAAAAAGTGCAGCAACAAGAAGGCAGCGACACACTTTTAATTAAAAGTAATTTCCATAATTGATTCGATTGTGACCCGAGCGCTGTTAACAAGTTTAGTCTAACAGCGGCAGTGTCACAGTTTCAGTCTCCACACTGACTCACTCGCGATTTAATCTCAATAAAAAATTTATCAACTTTTTTTTTATCGCTCCCCGTGTTTAGGTGAAAAATGCATGAATGTGTTTCGCCAGCAGCATAATCGAAGCGCATAAGAAGTTATTTATAGCGCCAGAGGCCGACGTTCGAGACAGCAACACGCCCACAAGTAGCAGCAGCAGACGCAAATCGACCAACAAAATGTCGCGCAGCAAATCCCGTCTGCAAACCGAAGTCTGCGGCGATTGCGGAGCATCGGGTTAGTCAGAGGGGTTTTCCTATATACTATAAATTACATGTTTAACAATTTCCCTCTTCCAGATCCCTCTTGGGCATCCATCAATCGTGGCATTTTGTTGTGCGCGGACTGTTGCTCGGTGCATCGCAGCCTGGGACGGCACATTTCCATTGTGAAATCGCTGCGTCAGGGCAATTGGGAGCCATCGGTGCTGAATTTTGTCAATTCGCTGAACGCACATGGGGCCAACAGTGTCTGGGAGCATCATCTGTTGGATGGCAGCACAAATTCGTCGGGCGGCAAACATGTGCCTCGGTGGCGCAAGCCAACGCCCAAGGATGCACTGCATCCAACCAAATCGGATTTCATCAAGGCCAAGCATGTCAATTTAAATTTTGTACTAAAGCCCAGCCTACAGGATGATGACGATTCCAGCGGCGGTGGCAGTAGTCTCGAACAGGAGCTGAGTCGGCAGCTGCATGCCAGCGTCCGCACCAGCAATCTGGAGACATCGTTGCGTTTCCTCGTACAGGGCGCCGATCCCAATTACTATCATGAGGAGAAGTGCTCCACGCCGTTGCACATGGCGGCCAAATTTGGCCAAGCCTCGCAAATTGAAATGTTGCTCATCTATGGCGCTGATGTGAACGCATTGGATGGGAATGGAATGACGCCCCTGGAGTTGGCCAAGGCCAACAATCATAGCACCATTGCAGAGCGTCTGCTGGACGCCATGTACGATGTGACAGACAGACTCATTGTGTTCATGGGCGGCAAGAAGCCAGATCATGCTGTAAGATTCCCATATTTGATAACAATTTCATATAGATAATAATAATGCTGGAATCATTTGCAGTGTGGTCGCCACTTGATCATTCCGGATACAAACAGTGGCGAGATCAGTGAACAATTGAAAATAGCACGCGGCAAGCTGCAGCTGGTGCCCAATAAGATGTTTGAGGAGCTCGTCATGGATCTGTACGACGAAGTCGATCGTCGCGAATGCGAAGCCAGTGAGTAAAACCAGGAACAATATTATTTTGATTAAACTCCCAGACAGACATATGCCAATGATATTATATACTTTAATGAGATTTCATTGAGAGCCCAGTTGGAATTGATACAGACTATATCGATTCGATTACTGATGCTCATCAAGATTATAGGTACAGGATGGATATAGTACAACTATATCGACTCAACTGTCTATTTAGTTCTGAATACTGCATAAACTTGAACTTGAGTTTTACATAACATTGCATTTGATACCTCTCTTTATAGTTTGGTCCACAAGCACGCTGAATGCTGAGCATGCGACGGTGCCATTTCTGCCAGCAAACCCATTTTTGAGCGCCACTCGCAATCAGGTCTGACCATGCCGTACTATCCAACTATCGCATAGTTTATTAATTAATTTAACCTTACAACAAACAGGGTCGCCAGAAGCTGGCACGTTTCAATCGCGCCGAGTTCGCCGGACTGCTAACTGATGTGCTAATCGATGCGCTGCGACGACAGAATATGGCCAATTTGAGGCCGTTGGACGCGCCGTTGGCAACGCAGTCGCTGCAGTTGTTGCCGTATGGCAACAACTCAACCATGTACAGCAGCTCGTTTGAGCAGAGCATGCATGATCCAAATCTGTCGGATGATGAGCCAATCTACGATCCAGTGGCTAGCGATGATGACTATGCACCGGTGCCGCCAATGGCGCAGCAGGTAAACCTAATGCGCCAAAAGATACTCAAGCTGAACAATAGCTTCGGTTAGACTGAGCCCCCTCCCAAAGAAACAAGTGTATTCAAATGGTCAATGTAGTGCCTAGACACATATAAAATATATACAGACATATAGACTATATGCAAACCTCATTAGTAGATACCCCAACTAGTTGTAAGCTTTTCTAGTCCATGGTCGACAGTCAAATAAAATTAGTTGCTCATGTAAAAGTGTAGTTTAACTTGAATTAGTGTCATTATTCATAGCTTTTAGTCATTATTAGTTACGTTTCTTTTGTTTTACTTATTATTTATTTATTTATTTCAACACCCAGGCCGTTGTACACACTCCGCCACGCAATGCGGACGAAATGGAAACGCTGCGGAAACAGCTCAACGAATACAAAAGTGAGATCAATCAGCTGAAGAATGTGGTGCAGCAGCTGTCCAGCGAGAATTCGCAGCTGAAATCACAATTCAACAGCGCCTCCAACAACAGCGTCTACGATGAGCCACTGTGAGCCGCCTTATAATTTACTTCAATTCAATTTTCATTTAATTAATTATATTTTCCTTTTATTTATTTTTGTTCTTTTGTTAGTCGCATTGATTTGAGTCTAAACAGTCCAGACTCGGAGCATGAGCCCATGTCACTGCCGGAAGGCAGCAGCAATGCTGCAGCTGCTGCTGCTGGTGCGGACAGTGCCTCATCGAACAACTCTTCCAATCAATCGACTATCAAGCGACCCGCCAGCATGTATGAGCGTCGCCTGGCCAACAATTTGGCCAAGGGCAACAACGATGTGCGCAACACAACGAGCATGTACCAAATGGCTGGCGATGGCAAGCCATTTGGCGAGGAGGTCAAGCTGCGCTCCGATCTGGTCACACGCTGTCTCAAGGAGCTCATACAGGCCATGCATCCAACCACTGAGGCTGAGAAGCAATCCGTTGCGCCACATGGTGAACGTATTCGGAGCGCTGTGACAGACCTGATAGCGCTATATGCAAATCTGGTTAGTTTTAAAGCTGAACCGATGCTAGAAACCAGCTATTACACTGAGACTATTCTCTTAAACTTCCACAGCCACCAAATGCGAACGAGACAACGCGCGAGACTCTCAAGCAGCTGACACGCAAGAATATACTCATCCAGCACGAGTGCGAGAATCTGCAAAAGTCCATCGAGGCAGACGATAAGCTGGCCATACAGAAGAATACGCTGGAGGTGCGCGATTGTGCCTTCCACATAGCCAGTGCCATTAAGACCCTTGTGCTGCAGTTCTATTGAGCGACGATGCGTATGCCAATTTATAGTTTCTAAGTTCCCGAAAGTGTTTCAAAGCGTTTAAGCTAAACTACAGTTATAGTATTAACCTCCCCGACTCACGACCCTTATAGACTAACCAAGTGCTTCCCTTAAATTGACTAACGAAATGAAATTTGTTTGCCACATGAAGCAAAAGATTTTTTTATTTGTATTAATAAATGTTTTACATAAAGCGATTTTTCCAATATGTTTAACAGCATATTGAATAAAATAGTTTGTGTTTTTATACCAATTAGATTTGAGCTTGTTAAGTTGTTGAAACTGGAGAGAAGTGTTCGCAAAAAAAGATGTATATATTTGTGAGATAAAGAAATATGTTGTAGAAAAGTGAAACTGGCCTTTTAACGTAAAAATATTCAATTAAATGTCTATTTGCGGCTGTCAAAACTCTAAATATATATATATATATATTTATTTATTTATTTTTGATATATGTATACTATATTGTACATTTAGTTAACTGTTGTATTTAAAGCATGGACATTTATTTACGCATATCTTGAGAAACTATTTCAGTACCTGTCTCGTCCCTTCTATGGTTTAATTGAATTCATTGGTCTGTTTTTGCATTTTGCTCGCACACTCACGCATATATATACAGATATATATATATATATATATATATACGTATATATGTTGTATTTATAGTTGGCAATTCAATTGCATTTGTCTAAAATTTTGCGCCACTGCATTTACTATGTTTTACATATAGTTTATTTTTGGAAAGGTATGCTACTTTGTTGCTTGGCTAAGGAACAATTGCCAAAACGTTGTGGGTCTTTCCCTTTCTGGTTTAAAAATCTTTTAGATTATGTACTGATTCAATTGTGTTTGTGTATATATAGTTAATGATTGCATTGTTTTCAAAACAGTTTACAGCACTCCTAAAATGGCCATAAAATATACATATATATATATGCTCATACAATACCTACATCCAATATCCTAAACACATTTGTGTAGCTCTCGAAAATATTGCTTGCTTTCCTCTAATATCATTACCCGAACCGGACCCATGCACACTAGCTAAGAGTTTACTTAGAGAACATAAAACTAAAATACATACAAAATACTGCTACAACCATTGCTGAGAAGAGTCTAACTGGAAATGTTTTGACGGAATTTCTGCGTGTACAATTTTTATATACCTTTGTGTGGGTGTGTGTTTTTTTTTAACAATTTTTTGAAGCTCGTCTCAGGTTGTGTATGATAAAACCATAAATATATATAAATCAAAGGTATGTGTCTTAAAATCTTTTATCTTTGCATCAACTTAATTTAGTAATTTATCTAAACTTATGTTAAACTTTAGGTACATACAATATTAATATCAATATCAACTTCGCGTTGGTTTCTGTTGCCGTCTTTAAAGAAGTCTTAAATCGTTTTTAATCAAACTTAATAAAAAATTAATTATAATAATAACAACATCAATAAATAACGTATCGTATCATATCAGACCTAATTATATTTATAAATAAGACGATCTCCATCGATGCATAACTAAACTTGGACTACTAACTGTACTTCCTTAACTCACATATGTCTTTCCAAATCGGTTACTGCCCTACAACTCGTTTCAAGTTGCCTACATTTGTAACTATAAAACAAACGAAACAAAAGAAATTGAAAAATCAAAATTAATCAAAATTAAATGCACGCAAAAATAGAAAAATAATGAAATTTACTCGTCCTCCGCCTCGGTAATGGTTGAGTTCATAATCTGCGCATCCTTCTTGAACAGCAGCTGACGATAATGCTGCAAAATTAGAGCAAAAAAACATTTAGAGAAGTCTCTAGAAGAATAGAGTAAACTTGTGGCATTTACCTCTTCGTTCTGTATCATAACAATGCGGTGCTCCAGCTGAGGTGCTAGATCGCATGTGGACTGCTCCAGATCATCCAGCGAGGCGCGACGCAGCATCTGCCAAGCCAAGAAATGTATTAGTTAACTTTGAACATGGTTTAATTATTGATGCAGAGTTTGTTCAAATTTCACTCTTACCTTCTGTGAATTGCCATGGGTCAGATCCAGAGACTTGTTGTGATGACCCACAGATAGTTTGCGTATGGGCGATGGACCATCGAGATCCAGACTGTCAAGGCATTGCACGAGGCTATGCCGACGTGACAGTGTCACCAGCGACTGTCGATGCTTTGTATTCTGGCCACACTTTCGCGAATTAATGGCCTTGAAATGATTCTGCAGCGTTATGCCCAGCTCTGGACACGCATCGTCATCCATCTGAAAGTTGGAATAATAAACTTTATACATATATTTAAATTAGAGGAATATTCACAAGCATCTTACCAGCACTTTGGTTTCTTTGAACATTGTGTAGCCGTCGCAGCCCATGAATAAGTAGCTCTTGACGCACAGCTTGTAGGTCTGCTCCAAGTTCAGATACTCATCGCCCACCTGTATGAGTTGGGGATCTATGCGTTTGCCCGGCTCCCCTTGCGGATCGAATGCAAAACTAATGCCTGCCACCTGTGGAAAGCGACCCTCCAGCTTGGGATATGCGGACACGCCATTCTCCAATGCCTGCCACAGCACTCTGCCCGTCACCTCCACCAGTATCAATGGATCGCGCATGGGTATTACATTAACCAGATCGCCCATTGTGAATGGGCCCACGGGATGTATGCGGTCCGAGCGAAAGGTGCCACCATTTAATATAACCACATCGGCACCCACAGCTGCCAAGACGACATCGCACACCCAATTGCCCAGATTCGTTTCCTGGGTACGCACACGCGAAAAGCGTCCATCAAGCTCCACACTAAAGATACCCATTACATCTGACAACTTGCTCTCAATGAATTCTGAAAGCGGAATGAAGAATAAAATTACTTATAATATATACAGTAGTTGTTCTGATTAGATCCACTTACTGGCATATTTGGCTAGTTCCTGCTTAAGCAGGGGATCCTCAGGTATTTTGGCCGTGACATCCACGCATTTCACATCCGTGGTGAACTGTGTGCGATTGTTGGCCTGTCGCTCGATGGTTATGACGGAGAACTGCTGGAAATCTGTGCCGGATTTGACAATCATTTTGCCATTGATTTCGGTCACTTCGCGCACATGATCGTGCCCACCGAGGATGATATCGATGCCATTGCATTTCTCGGCCAGATTGATGTCGTTAGGTGTACGCATGTGCGTCAGGGCAATGATCAGATCGCAGCCCTCGTTGCGCAGCTCGCGAGCGAGCCGATTCCCTGCCTCCACATAGTCAATGTAGGTGACTTCGGTGGGATCGATGGTGGGTAGGGTTTCAAGCCATTCGCGCTCCACCAACCCAATCAGGCCAATCGAGATTTGATTGTGCAAAATGAAATGGGTGATTTTGCCACCACCGAGCGGACGGCCAGTTTCGTTGTCAACCACATTGGACATTAGCCAGGGAAACTCCGTTTGTTTGATCAACTTGACCAGCACATCCAGACCGTGATCTAATAAGTAATAGATAAGCATATTAATATTGGGCTTACACTTGACAGATGTTTTCAATGTGCAATTAACAACAACAATCTTCAACTGTTCCACGTCCATTAATTAGAGTCCTACTGTTAACTGTTTGCAATACCTTAAAAGACTCTAAAATACAAATTGATGCACTTTTTCTTTATTTACCCCAACACAATCCTTGACTAGAAAAAAGGGTTAACAATGTTTTTACATTCTTCTACAGCTTCAGTTTAATGATTTAAAGCCGATTTTATTTATAGCAAAACAAATACTTTAAACTTAAAAACAACATTAAAAAGCAACTGGGCTTTTGTGTTCTGCTTGATTCACATTGAGAATCACTTTAAATTGAATCTTTATTATTTTTAACATTTTCCAAATTCACCTTTCACTTTTTGTCAGCGTCTTAAATTAATAATGAAATCATGTTTTAAGCTCACCGAAATCATGATTGCCAAAGACGGCGCAGTGTGTGCCCACCTGATTGAGCACAGGAACCATTTGCTCGCCCTGCGTGAAGGTGCTCACTGTGCGGAAATGAAGGGGACATAAATTTGATTATTAATTAACTGATAAGTGATGCGGATAACCGATACGGATTATTGGGTATTATTGTGATACATACGCATGCTTGGGGAGAAGGCATCCCCGCTGAACAGTACGAGTGGATTCAGATGCGCATAGCTTTTGATGGCTGTGGCAAAGCGGGCGGCGCCACCAATTGGCTCAGTTTCGCCCATGGATTCAATGTTGTAGACATCGTTGTAGTGCAATATGGTCAATGGCTTATCCTCGCCCTCCGTCATCTTTAGCAGCTTCTTGGTCTTCTCCAGCTGCGACGATATCGATGTCGATCGTCCGTTCATCCCGTTCGGAGTGAAACGGAATCGATGCCGCGGACTCTGCGGTTGGCTAACGGACGCGTAGGCGCGAGTTCGTGTCAACAATTTGGTATCGCAGGTATCCTCGCTGTCGAACACAATTGTGGAGCCACTCAGCGAACCCTCGGCGCTCGTCGTGGTCGGCACACTGCTCGAAGAGGGGGAAACGGACACCGTTGGCGCTAGCGATAAGTCCAAAGATCGAAAATTCGGATTTGTGCTCTGAAGCATGGAGAGCGTCCGAGTGCCAGCGTCCCGCACCTCAATGGAAGCCTACAAAAATGTAGAATTACATGCAGATCAGAAATGGGATACAACATATATATTATCAACAGGATAGCGAGACGAGCACACAACATCGATGGACTGACAAACAACATCAAGGAGAGATTAGTTTTGCTGGCATTTTAGCTGCTGGCATTCAGTTTATACATACATAGCCGATTTTTGTTAGAATTGAGCGGGTGGTCAAGAAGGGCGACATAAAATAAGCTCCAAGCTGGAATAGACCCAAATAACACAAATTATTGAGGTCCTTTGGAAAATAAAAGTGGTTATTAAACACAAATAAAATGATCAAAATCTGAAAAAAAATATGTTAAACCCAACGAAATAACGAACTAATAAAATTAAAAAATAATAAACATAATGAACCTGTACACTTTTCTGAAAAGCAAAAGCGAGGACATAATTTAAGGAACCAAAAAAAAAAGAATTTAAAATGTATCTTAATTAAGCAATTCAAGAAAAGTAATTGAAACAAATAGTCAGTTAAATATTCAACAAATAATAACATCAAAGCTTAAAGTAGTAGAATCGAAAATATAAGACTCGAAATATGGTTTTTCCCAAAAACAAAAATTTCTTGCTAATTTTTGAGCTGTTTTTTTTTTTAATCGAAAGGCACAGCATGCAATGTATCTGGGCAGAGAGTTGCTGCTAGTCGTGAACTCTTCTTCTTTTATATTGTAAGAGTTTCACTTATTTCGAAAATCTTTTCAATTCAACTTATGCAATATATATAATATATTCAAGCTAAAATGCCAGATTGGTACACAGGGAGAGGAACGGGTTGGGGGCGGAATTTAAGGGTAACATGTGCTTGGAACATGGAATTGCTTGTGAAGGATATTGTTACGAATACAACAAGGATTGCTCAAGTGTTTGCGAGTGTTTGCTAGTGTTTGCGGTGTGTGTCTAGTTTGTGTGTGCGGATGCGAGTGTAATTTGGTGTGGTAATTGGAGCCGAGCAGCTCCTAAGCAGCTACTTGGCTATTGTTATAGCAGCTAAAGCTATGGTTGTAGTTTGGTGTGCAGCAAACAACAAATAGATACAACAGATAGATAGAAGGGCCAACTAGATAAGAGAGTTGGGAGTTGGATAAACAGAAACCTGCTTCAGCCAGCCAACAACATTGCCCATGGCAGCTCCACGATTGCCGCCAGTCAAATGTACCAATCGGCGACTTGAGCCAGTTGTTGTTGCAGTTGCCGTTGCCGTTGCAGTTGTTGTTGCAGTTGCAGTTGCCGTTGCAGTTGCAGCAGCAGCTGTTGTAGTTGTAGCAGCAGCAGCAGCAGCAGCAGCTGTTGGTGTTGTGGGCAATGGGCAACTCCCTCCTCCGCCGCCGTCATTGTTGCTGTTTCTGTTGCTGCTCATCCTGTGGCCGCTGGACAGAGTCGAGAAAAGAATGCAGAATTGGATGCAGGTCTTGAAAGCGTTTTCACAAGTTGCATACAAAACACTTACAACACACTTGTCGCATATTTAATACTACGTAGACGCATTTTGCAATAACCCAAAACAAAACTAAAAATAAAAACGCGCGCGCAAAAGCGAAAAAAAATGAAAACAAACACTAATTTGTATTTATTTATGTATATACATATAAATATATATATATATATAGACTATATATATTGTTGTTTGAAAATGTTTACAAGCTGACGCGAGCGTCGCGCTTCGAGAGACGACAATGAAATGCAAATCATATGGCGTAAATATAGTTGAATACAAATTCCACTCAAATCAAATCGTTTCAATGCAAACAAAACAAACAGTGAGAGCTGAAATGCAGAGAGAGATATATGTATATATATATATATATATATATAGAGAGAGAGAAAGAGAGAGGGAGAGGGAGAGATGTACTCAAAACGAAAATGAAAATCAGAATGTGAGAAACTGAGAGTCAGCAGTTGAATGCATTCAAAGCATTCACTCAGTGACACGTTGAATAAAATTGCATTGTGCGCATTTATTGTCATTAATCGTCTCGGAATCATAAGTGGAAATGACGACGACAAGCGCAGAGACAACCCATGTTGAGAGAGCTCTATGTAATTGGACTGCAACGACTGGCTAATGCTCTGTAGCTAATAATAATCATGCCTACTTTAATAATAACTAGTTAAAAATAAAAACTGACTATAAAAAAAGGTTTGCTTTCCTTATTTTATAAATAGTAACACGCAATGGGCATTTTTAATAAATAACACATAAATAATAACACAATGTCAAGAGCAAGACAGATATCAAAATAGAGAGAGAGAGAGAGAGAGAAAGACAACGAGAGAGAGAAAGAGAGATAAGTAAATAAATGTATAGCAACACAGGAACATTGACGTGACTAGATTAACACCCAATTGTTAGCAAAGCTCTTTGTATTTTTATCAATAATTTTCACTTCTACACAATCAGTTGTGTATTTGCATTGTAATATTTACTAAAAATAATACATGCCCTCAATTCAGCCTGCGAAACATTTAAGAATCTGACAAACATAGAGATAGACACACAAAGACGAGGAGCACACAGATGCCAATGAAATTGTGCGTGACAGTTGAGCAGTTGTACACATTATATATATATGTATAATATATATATATATATATATGTATAATAAAACAGCAGTCAGCATTGGCATTGATAATGAAATTAAACCAAACGCATGAAAATACATGCATATATTACGTATACGCAACGATTTGGGCCAACACAAGGCTGAGATCGATGGGAATTTGTCTCTAGCTCCTTGGGAATGCGTGATACACGCACAACCACACACACACACACACACACACACTCGCACACACACACACACAAAACACCCACAAATTGAATGCATACCAATGTGTTTTGCGAATTTATGTACATACAAAAGTGTACACACATATCTACATATATATATATATATATATATATATATATATATAGATATATACATTAAAGTCCTATATGTGAGCCATTATAATATGTGGTTTTCTGCCTCGTCCGTCATCGCAGTCAAACCACAAAATTACCGATGGGATTTGCGCTGTTAAATGCAATTGGAAAGCGAATAATGAACAAATTAAATATTCAAAAGCCATCGCTTCTTAATCATGGTTTGATATCCAGATTAATACTACATTCAAACTTACAAAACACGATTCTCGCTTGATTTTCATGATTAAATTAAACTCTCAACAAATTATGGTAGGGATGCTAGCAATCACTGATATATATATACATATATTCCAGATGCTGATTAAGAATATGTATATATATTTTGTGGTGTCTGCTGCGGCATGCTTACTTCTGCCTCTTACATACTTTTGCACAACTTTTTGCCCATTCTTAATGGGTTTAGGGTATAAGAAAGGCAAAGTTTAATTATCAAATGCCGCAGAGCCCGCAACTTAATCAATTTAAGGTAGTTAGTTGGATTTCCAGCACACAAAGGTTGCACTTCAAACATTAATCCGTTCAGCTCAAGGGCAAAAGCAAATGATATGCAAGGCTAGCAAGGCAGGCTAGCAAGTGCAAGTAGCAGGCAAAACAATCGCATGCAATGATTTTGAGGGTCCTAAGACCCAGACCTAGAACCATACTCAGACCCAGACCGAGACCCAGACCCAGGCAGGGCCAAAACGGCAGCAATAAACCCAAACGAGTACCTCATTGCGAGCAGACAGCTTTGAAGAAAGAAAGTCAAGGGTCAATTGACAAATGCTTCAGCAGCGTTGTGCAAAAAACGAAAAGTACGTGTGTGTCTGTGTGTGTGTGTATGTGTGGCAAGGCCAACATGTTGGGGTCCTGATGTGGGCGCACAGCGTTAAGGTCGAAAAGCCAAAATTTGTTCGCAGCCTCAAGGGAACAACTAAATGAACAACGGCTCGTGATGCAAAAAAAAAAGAAGTCCACATTGTGGCGTGAGTGAGACGAAACTTCGACGGCAAAAATACAGAAATACACAGATACTTTTACTTACATGTGTATGTGTGGCTGTAGGAAAAGTTAGGAACATGTAGCGCAAGTTAGCAGCAGTTACAGCACACACACACACACACACACACACAAATTTGATTAGCATATTAAGTATATGCAGCGGGAAGTTCAATTCCTTTTGCACAGTGTATTTTTACATAAGAAAAAATGTGGCAACAAAAAGGAAAAGCCAAAATACAAAAAAAAAAAAGAAAAAAAGATTCAATATATGCGTAAAAAGCGAAAAACAAATCAGTGTTGAATTATTTACAAATTTATTTTACAACAAAAAATCTGGTCCCTTTTTCCTTAGCTTTGTTTACACGATCTGCATTGAAGCATACTAAAGTAGCTTAAAGGGAATCAGTTGAATATAAGTTGGACTGACAAGTGTGCATTTACCTTTATCAAATTGTTGGACGTTTATTATGTGGCCGAGTATCAATTTGGATGGGAAATGCGATTTTTAAATTGACCTTAACATAATTTAATTGTATTAAATAGTATAAAGAATAAAACACTTAACTCTACTGCTACAACTAGGTGGTGTAATCCATTGTGAATATTAGCTAAGCCACAAATATATAAATATCTCAGTTTGTGTGTGTGTGTTGTAAACTACAAACTAAACCTACGAATCACGATTTGTGTGTTGGCTTGTCTTAAATAAGCTGTAGGCAGCAGTTTCATACGAGACACAATGGTTTCTTTTGTGAACAGCCTAACACACTTTTTATGTACTGTAAACAAAGTGAAAGACTGAACAGCCCCAATAAAATAGACTGTTTTTAATATACTCTAACACCGAAGTCCCCCACGAGTTGCTCTATTACCAACAATTTGAGAGTTAAGCTTGGCAATTAGTTTACAATGGTGATTTATCAAATCTATATTTTAAGTCAATCTTTCAAATCCAAATTGTAAGTGAATTTTACAGATTGTTGGTTATTAAATGAAATATTAGATAAAAGATATTAGATATTAGAAACGCCGAAACGTACAGCTTATTCGAAGCAAACTTAGACGCTATAGAATATGGACTCTTAGGTGCATTAGTACTCTCTCTAACTGTTCTGCATTATTAAACAGTGCTGATTGTTTAGAAATCAATAGGCACTATTAGAGTGCGTGTGGGAGAAGTTGGTTGCTTTAACATTAGCTCGGCGGCCCAAGCAATATTTTTGTATATGCATATTTACTTTCAGTCAGTATACGGCAAAAGTAAACAGGCAACTTACGTGCGTGCAACGTTTAGTTCCAGTGATAGTCAAGTTGTTCTTGTTCTTGTTGTTGTTGTTTTTAATGTTGTTGTTGGTATTTTATGCAGTGACCTTGTCGATTGGTTACCCGGCAACAGCAAGCACAATAACTTTGAGAGTAGAGCCACAGCTTGATTGCTGCTTAACTTGCCTGTAAGTATAAAAATGAAAAGAACTTATGAATTTAAATTCAAATTACGCAATTGCTAAAGAATTTGCAAATATATGCAAGCTGCGCCACAAACTTTAAATAACTTTGCAAGCGAGACAACAACAAATTGCGCAGCAATTGCGCAGTTTACAATTTTATTTTGCGAACAGGAAATGCAGCCAGGATATGGACGACACAACCAAACCCCAAACACCCACACATCCACACACATCCAGGCTGCAAAGCCCACCTGAAGCTGTTGCCGGTCCAAACGGAAAGGCCAAAAGAGCAAGAGCAGCTATATTGGCGGATAAGGTAGGCGTTTAAAGGTTAGATTCAGCTTGATTTAGGACTACGCTGAGCCAAAAACGTATGTCTTAATACCAATAAATACTTATCTGCCGATTATATGTTTTATTGTGATGCGCCATATTCAACATTTGAAGTGGCAAAAACAGTATTCAGTTTTTACGTGTCAAACAAATTGAAAACACCATTAAGACCCTCATCAAAGTTTTAATTGCTGCTTCAAAAATAATTCAGAGAGATGCCGCTACATCTTCATAAAATTAATTTTATGCGCAAATACCCGTTCCAAATATGGGCAGAAGGGTATGCTCAGCGAAATTGCCTGTAAGTTTTGTTATTTCTGTGGAAGCTCATTTAAATATGTCTGCTGACATAAGCTAATGTAAGCAAGTGGATTACTACCTAGATCATTAAATTTACATATGCTTATTTTATTCTTTATATCTATTTCATTAACAACGAGCGTAATTGCAGAAGTTAACATTAATCTTAGCGCTTATTCATTCAGGTAACATTTCAAATGCAAATTTAAATTGAAAGCGTATCAAATTATTTAATGGCAAATTAACTAGGTAAGCACTGGCGACCCTGTTCCTATTTTTATTTGTATTTATCATTCAGGTACCTATGAGAAATATGTAGAAAACTTTGACAGACTCAAAACTTTAATACTCTGATTATAAGGAGAAGAGCAGAAGAGTATATAGTTATATATTTTAAGTAAAGTATATATATATATATATTTATATATATAAGTATAAAAAGAAGAAGAAGCAAAGCCATTGGCACATATAGTTGTGAGTACATCCACTAACAACAAATGAAAGGGCTGGTTACAGAGCATCAGCTAGTCGTTGCACTTGTTTTCCGTTTTTTTTTTTTGGCAACTTGCCAGCCAGCACACAAACTCAATCTGCAATAAAAGTATGTCAATGTAGGCGCTACTAACAGTCCTACCTAGACCTTGTAATGTAGCAAATAAATGTGGGGTAAATTGTATGGAGCTAAGAGTTTAATTAACCCTCAAAACACGCACAGCAAGCAGGCGGAACCTGTTGTCGTAAAGACATCGTTGCTGTTTCTTTTTTTTTTCCTGAGGTTGTTTGGTGTCCAGCTGGGTCAGTCTGCTGTGTAAAGTCACTCAGACTCTCACACACACACACACGCATAACGCCAACACATAAACATGCAAATAAGCTCACACTTTCTCACGCTATTTTATAATCAGCTGTGCAAAAAAAAAGCTTGCTCAATTGAGTTACTCTCTCGCCCACGCGGACCGCGAAGAGCGAGGCTACCTGTTTCTCACTTTTTTACACTCTTTCTCTCTCTTGCTATTTCTCTCCACTCGTTCTCTTCCAATAAGCATGCACGTTGCTTGCTGTTGTTGCTGTTGGCCTTTAGCGGTTATTATTATGTATTTTATGTTGTTGTCTTGATAAGTTAATTTTGGACAAACGTGTCGAACGGTAAACGCCAAAGCAGCTTGCTGCTCGCAAGTGTTTGTGTGTCTAACATGCGTATGTTAGGATTACAGGCTCTGTAAGCGCACATGCGAAGCTCTCAGCTTGCAGCTGGGTTTCCCTTATAAAAATAAACTGCTTATGCAGTTCTAATTGTAGACAGGTGCTTGCCTGCCTGCCCGGGGCTGTCTTGGCTTGCGCCACAATGAGCCGTGTGCTTTTTTTTTTTGCATGAAGCTGTGCCTATCAACCACTTACTGTCGCCCCAAATGACCTAATACAGGGCGGTATATTTCAGACATGTTATATTATATTCAGAGCTTCCTTTTTGCACAGACATCCTCATTTTGTGTGGTTAGTTTTTGTGTTAATATTTATTCTAAATTGGCACATCCGCTGTCACTTTTCATTCTCGTATTAAATTGCAAAATGCTCGACACAATCCGTGCCAATTGTTGCACTACAATTCAATTAACTTTCGCTTGCGGCAAGTCAAGTTTGTAATATTATCATTGCTATACGTATTAATCAATTAATAAATTATGCACTGATAAGGTTGCGACCCTGTTGCCCATAGACAAACACACAAACACATACACAGGAAAACACTCATACAGATTTATTTGCGCGCTTTTGTTTACAGTTTTGATTGGTATTGTTTTTCTTTACATCTGACTGCATTGACAAATATTCTTATTTACACACCTTGTGCTGCAGAAGAAGAAGACCAAAGGAGAATTCCTGTTTCGCGCACCACTTTTTCTTGTACACCAAAATGCTGCTGCGCTCTATGTTTTTTTTTCAATATTCTGCGTATAAAACTTCACACACCAAGAAACACGTCGCAAAATGCGTACAAAACACGAACCGTCTCAGCGGAACGCAGAACTCCAACTGAAATATGGAATTTTAAATGCTTATGTTAAAGTTAAAATGTAATGCTATACTTAAAGTACAACGTTAGAGAGAAAGAAAGAGAATAAAAGCTGCGCAGAGAGCAGAATGTGCAATTCACGACTATCGAATTATACGAGAGTAGGTGAAAACGAACTGACATAAATAAAAATCGAAATAAGAATATAAGAAAATATATTTTATTAATTTAAGAAATTTGAGTTAATATTCTAACAATAACTTACTGATTACCCATGAACTTTTATTTATTGTTGGTTTTTTCTTAATTAATTTCAGAACATCTCTGGCTCGCGCTCACATATTCAAAGATCCTAAAGCCGGTTTTATCGATATACTTTCTCGATATATCGATACAACGGCTGTTAACCTTTTGCTGTTATTAACATTTGTTTACCATTTCGACGCAGCAGTTTCAACGATATTTATATATTTTATGATTATTCATTGGAGAGAAAAAATCAAATTATAGTTACAAATTACTACCACCTTATAGATTTTTCCCAGTACAACATTGTTAAGCCAAAAATGTCCTATTATTCAAATACAAGCAGCTCGTTAAGTGAGGAGCAATTGTTCAATGTAAAACGTTTGAGAGCAACTGGTCTTAACTGCTGTGCATTTCAATACGTTAAATTTGAAATAGTCTGCTCAAGATCTGCTCATTTTTCTTAAATTGCAATAACGAAAGACCGTAATTCAGAACAATCACCTCAAAAAAAAACAACACGATTATGATTTGTATTATTTAATAATTTTTATTTATAGTACCTCACTTTAAAAATTACGTTATACCAATATTACATTAAATGTTTGCTGTTTAAACTGCCTTCCAATTGCCATATACATACATCAAACTACATGTATTCGCATGTCTTAGGACATTTGCGTTATTATATTATTAATATTTAGGTCTGTATGGTTCCGTCTGGGCTAACATTTAAGTTTATAATCGATATTTTCCGTATATGCATACTTGATAATCCGAAATGTGCTATAATATTGTGTGGCAAATGATTACACTTCCACACTTAATAAGCTTATACAATGCATATGTATAATTTTTGTTTTCTGTTTTCTGTTTCAATGTTTTGATAGATTTCAAACATATATGTTGATACATATAGTATGTACTGTATGTGATCTGATCTGACTTCAATTCTCAGTTATCTTTCGCATTCGTTTCTTCCATTTATTTTTTAATTGTTCTTGCGACAATCTTAACAATGTTATTATGATATATGTATTTTTTTTTTTTTTGTTTTGATTTTTTTTTAAATTGGTTTCTTCAACTCTTATAGACTTTAATTCATATGCTGGTCACTTGTCCATCGAAGTGTTAATTATTTTTACAGTGATATACAGTTTTGCCTAGTTTGTAAATACAAACAAAATATATATCTAGATATATTATATAAATATATGCAGATACACATTCAAATATATATAAATACATACATTTATATGAATATGTGAAGGATAGCAACTAAAAAGTAATAGGAATTAAATTATATTGAGTTAAGGTAAGCATATTGCATTTCAGTTCTACGGTATGTAAACACACTATATGGTTTAAATTATGCATTAAATAAATTAGGCGCAATAAGTGCAAACATTTCGAATTTATTTTGTGTAACTCTCTTCATTAATTTATGTCTATAACCTAAATATATGTGTAATGTATATGTACAAAGTTTTTCAAAAAAGTTTCCTGTTTTTTTTTTCTTTTCTTATGTTTGTTTTTTTCTCCTTGAAACCAAAACTTGAAGTAGCTTCAAATATATATATGTATGTGTTGTGTGTGTGTGTTTGTGTGTGTGTGTTTGTGTGTGTGTGTTTGTGTGTGTGTGTTTGTGTGTGTGTGTGTGTGTGATCGGTGTATACTGCACTCGTTCTATATACTAATGGAAGCTATACAGAGTTTATATTAATTTTTTGTTTTGTTTTTTCTTTTGTCATTTCAAAATTACATTTATTTTTTTTTTTTTTTTTTTTTTACATTTATTGAATATTTTCGATTTGTTTTCAATGTTCCTTTGATTTTCTTACATTTCTTTGATAGTTTGTCTAAACCCCTAACTGAGATATATTTATGTATTTTAATAAGTATGTAAAATAAAACTGTTTCATGGTCTTCTATATGTTTTTTTAGGGGTTGAGAAAAAGGTGGTTAGGACTTTATTTCTACGTTGACACGCTACACTAGCAAAAATTTTACATTATTCTCTAAATACGTGAGTGAGTGTATGTGTTTATAATAGTTTACTTTCTGCTTATAAATGTTGTTTTGATTTTGACATTGTTTTGTTTTTCATTGTGTTTTGTGTGTGTTTTTTTTTAACATATTAACAGTATTTTGAAACTTTTTACAACGTTTGTTTCTTTTATCAAAAATACATTAAATTTCATGTGTTTATCTTCAGTTTACTTCAATTATATAGTTTTTTGCATTTGCTACAGTTTCGTTTGCTTCACGCCTTTCTTTCTAAAAATTCAAATGATTTTTTTTTGTTTTCGTTTTGATTTGTTTTTTTTTTTTTAGTTTTTTTGTGATTTGTTTTAAGTTGTTTTACATGCTAATGAGTTTAATTGCTACGACCTTGATGATTTTGGTTTAATTCTATATATATATATATATTATTAAGGTATTTTCTCTTTCTCTTCTAAACAAAATTATAAAGCATTTTTCATATATATATATATATATACACATATATATAAATTATATACATGTATATAAACTGTGTGTGTGTGTGTGTGTGTGTGTGTGTTGCCGCAGTTGTTGCTTTTACAGTTGTGGGCTCATTTTCAGTCTCACACTTAACTAATTAGAAACAGAACCAAAAAATGTATATTTTTTATCAGAATTCTGCTACAAAATGTTCACTTTGACTTAATTTTATGTAATGCTTATGTCTCGATCAAAGAAAATATGTATATATAAATATATATATGAAGAAACACATGTCTTTGAATAATTAACAAACTCCTGCTCCTTTCATTTTCATTTCGAGTTAAGTTGAAAACAATGTGTAGTGTGTAGTGTAGTGTAGAGTGTGGTGTAGATAAAGCATATTTCATATACAACTAACATTATAAGATTATTATTTACATTTGATACACATCTCAAATTGTGTAATTAATGCTCCAAATTTAATTAATTTCTTTAAATTTTGATTGTTTTTGTTTTTCTTGTTTTTTGTTTTTTGTTTTGTTGTTGTTGTGTTTGTTGATTTTTGCCCTCAGCAGTTTTTGTGAGCTTTCTCAAGTTGACTTTGACATTAACAAATGAAATTGCCTCAGCTTGCGCTTCCAATGCTTCGAGTTGAAGCGAAATTTGACAACGGCGGCGGCGTCGGCGGCGGTGGCGGCTTCAGTGGAGGTGTTGGTGGTGCTGCAATCGATGGCGTCTTCGGCTCCGTCAGAGCGAGCTCCGTCGGCGCTTTCTCAACGCTTCTGTTTGGATGCTTTCTTGCGTTTGCTGGTGCCAGCTGTGGACGGTGGCATTGCTGCTGCTACTCCTGCTGCTGCTGCTGCTGCTGCTGCTCCGCTGGCCAGTCCCGAGATGCTGGCAAAGGGTGTTGCTGTTACTATTGTTGTTGTCGCTGCTGTGTTGTTATTGTTGTTGCCGCTGCTATTGCTGCCGCCGCCGCCGCCGCCGCCTAACATTGCCGCAGCATGCAGTGATTCTCAACTGCGCTCGGGCGTGCCGTGATGCTGATAGATCTGCTGAAGCTGCTGCTGCTGTTGCTGGCTATGCACCACTTGGCTGCTTGACGTGACCACATCCTGTTGCTGTTGCATGTGCTGCTGCTGTTGCTGCTGCTGTTGCTGCTGTTGCTGTTGATGGTGCGCCTGGTGTGGCGACTGCTGTTGCATGTGCACCACATGCTGTTGCATATGCTGCGGCGTCGGCGGCCCCTGCTGCGAACTGTGATGCTGCGGCGTACTATGATGCTGTGGCGTCGGCGGATGTGGCGACGGACTGTACGGGAACTGTTGCTGCAACATATGCAACTTTGCATAAATAAATTTGTTATTGGTTAGTCAAGCATTGGCAGTGGTGTCGGTGTCATTGTGGTGGCTGGGTGGGTGTTGGTGTTGGTGTGCCAACAAATGATTCAACACAAAGACACACACACATACATATATATATATATTGTTTATGGGATCAGTGATATATATCGTGTTATCGTGACGACTAAACAAACAGCGAGTCGCAAAACTAAACTGCATATTATTTTTTAATTTGTAAGCCCAGATTTAAAGCGCATTAAAGGAGACGTATCGAGCACCGTAAGGTGTATATATATATTCTATATATTCTATATACATTCTATATATATATATTCTTGATCAAAAACGAGTCGATATAGCCTTGTCCGCATAACTGCCTCAGTTTAAGAGCAATCTTTATTTTTGCTGAGGGTCGAACGTAGATCGGAGTTGATCTGATATCTGATATCTGACCCCTATATCATATAGCTGCCAATCAGTCGAAAATTGAGTATTCACTGGCATGTAAGTGTAACATACACTTGTAGAACAAAGTTAAACTGCTGAGATCTAAATAGTTCTTTCTTGTTCTTATCATTTGTAATATATATTTAAATATTTGCACAGCTGAACAATCTTAATCTTTACTAATCTGTCTAAAAAGACAAATATCCCTAAATATGAGTTGATTTAAAGTTACGTCAGCAAAGTATTTGGCATATTTACGAGAGATCTCCTATTGCAACACAAAACTCGAATCGCCCCTCAATTTAAAGCCTAACTTTGTATTGAGAATCCATTTTACAGAAGCAGACGTTAAACAATCTTTTGTTGCAAGCAATTTCTAATTATGTATCGATGATATGAGTGTGTGTGCGTGTGTGTGTGTGTGTGTGTGTGTGTGTGTCTTTTTTGGTTCGAGTTGTGTTTAGTAGCGTACCGAATTCTCCTGACTATGCTCGATAATCTCAATGCTGCCGGTCGTATTACCCGAGGTGTTGTTCAGCGAGACGCCACTGGTATTGGCAACCACATCGTACTTGCCACGCTTGAATCGTCCGTAGAGCGAACTGTAGGGCAGGTTGTAGTGTATGGCCGCCTGGTTGATGGACATTTGACCAACGCTGCAACAGAAAAATGTACATTAGATTTGTATTGTTATTGGAATTTTAGTAGCCATTGGTAGCCAGTCAATTTGCATACATACCGCACCGAGTTCAATGCCTCGTTCATAGCATCCTCAGACCAGGGCGTTGGATTCGAACGCGACAGTTCGATGCCCTCCCGTTTGCAGCGTCCATAAAGTGTTCCTTTGGCATTAAGAATTGTACATGAATTAGCAACAAATGGCGAGTAAAAGCAAAAGTTCTCCAACTCCCTTTTTGGGAATGGGTAATGCATAAATTACTAACTGTCGACAGTTTGAACAAAAGGGGGCGGCGGGCAAAGTCGTAAAGCTAATGGGTTATAAGTCATAAGAAGCAAGTACCACTTGCGAGCACAATCAACATTTAAATATTTAGCAGAGGAGCAGAATTTTTCACTTTTAGCGAATACAGAGGAATATGCAATTAGCAACATGTAGGAGAGTATCAAACCTACGAGTTTATTCAACATGTAAAGCAAGTACAGAGTAACGAGTGATGAGGATAGGAAGGAAGTAAGAGAATTCTAAAGAATTACAAGTAACGAGTACATATTAAGAATAACGAGACATTCCTAACGAGTAACTAACGAGTTACAACATACGAATGCCACACGCGTTTTGTAACGCTTGCAGATAGTTGCGAGTGACGCTTAGAGACTAACTAGTAACGAGTAACGACTAACGAGTAACGAGTAACGAGTGGCAACAGCAGCAGCAGCAGCAGCAACAGTTGTCTGCGATCTGGTTTTTGGGGTTGTCTTACGCAAAACGGGGGAACTGTATGAACTCACCTGTCGGTATGCCGAATTCGGCACTTGCTTTTTGTACAGAGGTGTTGCCGGCGCGTATCGCCTCCAATGCACGCTCCAGATCCTCGGGTGTCCACGTGGTTGGTGCGGCATTGAATGGCGCCGCCAGCCGTATGCCCTCGCGACGCGCAATCTTGTATAGCGTCGATGAGGGAATACCAAACGCTTTCGATGCTTTATTCGCCGATATTTGACCCGAACGCAACGCCTCCAAGGCATTTTGCAGGGCGTCCTCGTTCCACGATTTGGTGCCGCCCTCCTTCTTAGGCGTTTCGATGCCCAAACGGTGTGCTCGCTGCCATAAGGTCGTTGATGGTATGCCATAAATGGCAGATGCTTTCGTCAGGCTCATGTTTTGATTCTTTAATGCATCTAAAGCTGAATTCATATCATCTTGTGTCCAAGCTTTGGGACCATTAAACTGACCTTTCTCGCCAGCACTACCACCACCACCAATGCCGCCACCACCACCACCAACACCACCGACGCTGGGGCCGCAAACGCTGCCACCCAGTCCGCCGTGCTGCTGATCCAAATTCGTATAATGCGGCTCATTCTGATCGTGCGGCGAACCGTTCGCGATCATCATTGAGTCCTCGCTCGTATCCGAGTTGTACATGTCTGCAACAACAGAATATATCGAATATATTGTTAGTGGCAGGTTCAACAGATCGCCTAAGCTGCAATCGACTTACCCATATGCCCGGTGGACATCATATTGACAATCTCTGGCGTTATAATCATGCCCGGCTCATTCTTAATCTGGCTCGGATCAATCTCCATGACAGTGGCGCCGCTGATTTCCGCATGCGTGGCATGCGCTGCATGCTGTGCGGC